AAAAAAAAAAAAAAAAATCGATTATCCGGCGATAATTTTTATTACGTTGGCGTCAGAGCACGCGCGCGATGTACACGCGTGTATCGACACATAACACACACACGTACACGCATACACATACATACACGTGAACAGGCAAATATACGACGTTAATGCAAGAGTACGCTCGATGGCGCACGCCAAGAACGACAGCAACACAAACGAAAACGTAACGTAAAATTAGTATAGGTTGATGCCTAGAAAAATTGCCAATAAAGTAGTCGTTTAAAACTTGTAGCTAACCTCTATTTGTGTATCTCTCCTTTGTATTTTCTCACTTGGTCCCCTTCCACCCTCTACCCTCTCCCCCAATCACATTCATAGTTATAGATCTCTCCAGAAATTCCCGGTCCATATTTGCGATCCACCCCTTGTAATTTATTATTGATAAACCTCGTATCTCTCTTGCCTAACTTGTTGGCAAAAAGTAATTACGTTCATTCTATATATATATATATATATATATATATATATATATATATATATATATATATGTATGTATGTATATGTATATATATACCTATGTTACAGTTCAAGCATTCAAATTCGCATTTTTTCATCGAGCGTGTAACTTTCTCGAAGAAAACCAAAAGCAGTAGTTTTTTATTTTTACATTATCAGTCCGAAGCGTCGGTGCGTATAGCAGTACACTCGTTTGATCGTATTTAGGGATTCTCGATGTCGCAGCGCAACGCAAACGGTATAATCGGACGGTGTAAACAAGTCCCGTCGTCTGTGAATCACGTTAAATCTCGGTAGAGCGATATCGTGCTTCAGTGCCGCATATCGTATAACATATATCGCAATACTACCATTCGTGTGCCGTATTGGAAACCTCGGGATCGTTCTTCGTCTCTTTTTCAGAGTCCCGGGATCGAGTCACACATACACACGTGGCCGCTATCTCGCGATTACTGCGAAGACGCGGTTTAATGAGGTCTCAGTGTAACGATTTTATTGTTGCAATTGTAATTACAGTAGTCGTAATCGTAATCGTGGTTGTGAGATGGTAACAGAGTTGTGTCGGGGCCTGGGCAAGGAAGATGCCGGGGTCAGGCGAGCTCGTTACTGTCCGGGAAGTGGTCACGTGCGTCCAGACAGGCGGCCAGATCGAGCACCAGATGATGGAGGGTAGGATGCTCGAGGACCTCCGCATCCGGCAGAGGCGGATGGCAACGTGGCCTCTGTTGACGACCTCTGAATGAGCGATGTAAATTCAGCACCACGTCGCAGAACACGTAGCGTACCAGCAGTAGCCGCAGAAAATCATCGCCAAAGAACTGCAGTACGCTGGTCTCTGCGAATTGTGAGATTGTAGATGAAATCACGGATAATATCAAAAAATGAGAACGGTTTGCGATTTGATGGAGGAGGGGATGCCCGTTAAATATCATATCTTTTTTAATTTACAACATCAAAATAGACGCATATATTTTTCTTTCGCGTTGATCTTTCATTAGCATGAGTTTGATGAGAAATCGTGTTGCATTTTCTTAATTTTCTTAGTCTTATATCATAGGTTAAGCTTTCAACTTAATTTATTTCCCCAAAATGATGTAAAAGCGTCGAATTAAAAAAAAAAAAAAAAAAACAATCTTATTGTCAGATAAAGCGATGTCTTTGAGATTGATTTGGCGAAACTCTTTAATTTTCAATGACTAAGTTTATCCGAGGATTTGTTCAACCGAAAGATATTTCGATACTGTTTTCAACAAAGCACGCGTTTGTTCGAGATAGTTTACGGTACAACATCGTTTCATCTCGGTGAAAACAATAGTTATCCCTCAGAAGTTAAAGAGATACGCAGAAATCGAGAACGCGAGTTCGCCAATAAATTTGCCTGGATCTAGGCCAAACGTGTTTATTGTTGTAACACGATCGTAAGTCGCATTCGGTGAGACCGGCTGCTGTTGCACTAACGAGAATACGCCCTCGTTTTGACGATAAAATCTTAATTTTGCTCGCCTTTTTCTTAATATCGCGCTATAACTGTCAAACACCACGCAACATACTGGTCAAGCTAAATAAATTTTTGTCGATAACTGTATGCATCTATTTAGTAATTCAATCTTCTTATACCGATAAGTTCTATTTAAAATTGTAGCGCATATTTTAAACGGTTTTTAATGTTGATATTTTAGAAAGTGCTGAAAATATTTTAATAATCAAATTTGATGATTAAAATGTTTGACAAATTATTAAGCGTTAATTCCTTCTATCTCGAATTAGAGTATAAATGGTCTGAATTAAAATCAATTAAAATCTTCTTATTAAATAATATCAATTTTTAAACAATATCAGCGAATTGTCGGGAGACTCTGATCTAAAGAGAGAGAGTTCAGGATCTCCCAAAACTCATCGTTTTTTACTATCGAGCCCGCTCCTCAACCGTTTTTGTTTGATCGAAGCTTCAAGACAATGATTGCGTCGAGTATCCTTACCGCATCGGGAACGCGTTACGAGCTGACTGGCCTCGTTAAGGAATCGCTCGATGTAACGTTGGCAGCGCTCCCAATGTTGCACGGGCAGAGTCCCGACGTTGCATATAAGGCAGAAGGCGGCGAGGGGGGCGTGAAGAAAGAGGGTGAACAGGCTGCCACCGTGTCGCAGGTCGCGCAGGGTCGGTGGCACATCCTGCGGCGACATCAGCACCATCAGAGGCTGGCCAAAGTAGCGCGGTATCTGCTGGAACACGAAGCTGTTGTCCGAGTCGACGACGACGAAGAGCGGCTTCCTGGTGAACGGATAGAGATCGCCCGGGTACAGGCAATGCGGCTCCTTGCCGCCGGCCGGCCTCTTCCCGTGCTCGGGATCCCTCTTGCTGCACGTGGACACGCCGCCCAGGTCGTACCCCACTGTACAATCGCAAGATTTTATCAACATCGTGCAATTCTGCGTTCGCCGAGTCGTCAAATGGATGTCAGGCAACTTTGAGGAAATCTCGAAATTCTGTCCATGTTTGTTTGTCCGCGAGATATTTCGCAAGATTCGAGCTTTGAAAACGAGATACGTTCTGACTGATCTTCCATCAGCGAATGTTTCAGTCATCTTTTCTTCGGAACTTTTAAATGTTCGATATTTACATATCATTGATATAATTAATGGTCAAAATTCCGAAATAAAAGAATATGAATTTAATTAAGTCACAAAAGATTTTGACTTTCTATTTATATGTATTATATATATAATATATATTT